AAATTACCTACCTACTAGAATAGCTATTTATACATCTGTTATTATTATTTATTAATAAATGTATAACTGCAGGTGGTTCACAGAATATAACACTATTAAATATAAAAAATATAAAGTGGTGGTATTAATTAGCAGATCAAGACACCACCATATATTCAACCTGTTCTGGGGATTACCAGGCATTTATTATTTTGATGCAATAAATTCTTTTAATTAGTTGATTTATGTGATTTTTGAGATTTATGTTGAATCGTTTATAAATAATTGTAATGCGCTTATTGGCTACGTCACAGACTGCTGGAGAGATAGCAAGGTTATTATCATTGTGAATGGAGTGTACACAACAAGGTACTTTGGTTATTATAGCTCGAAGGAGCTTAGAAYTTTAGATTGAAAACGTCTTATCTTAGATAAGTATTTGAAATGTTGAGAGCCTCATTATTGATTCCATAATATATTCAAATTTGTTTTATAAAAAGTCAATATAGGTTAGTAGTTTAGCTGCTAATTTTGTGTGATTGGAGATTGACAGATAGCTGCTGAGCGATTGTTAAAKGATAGGAATTTGAAATCTGTATCTTACCGAAGACCAATATAAAGACGTCAGTATTAGGTATGTGTAGTAATACTTTAATTACAGATACTTTGCGTAAAATGAGTTAATTTATTATTAGTTATAATTATATATAACAGGTGGGCATATTTTATTCTGACGTAAAGTGAATGTGTGAAGTGTGTGGATATTTGTATTCTATTATAATATTAATACCCTCAAGGCCTCAATCCTTAGTTTAGCTAACTAACCTAACCAATCCTATARAATAATTTTTCTAGTAGGGTAATACGTTTTTGTAAATGCCATGAAACAAAAACAGTTTGTTAGGTCAGGTTTCTTAAAGTAGGTATAAGAAAAAAAAAAATACTTGCATTTAATTCTAACAACGACGATAATAACTCTTTGTAAGATAACTGAGTCTTCTCGGCAATGTCATTGTCAACTTTCGAAATTTCTCTTTCATTTAGAGTAGCGTATTTATCCTTTTCGGCAATTATTGTGTCCTCTTCAAAATTGTCCTTGAATCCTGAACCATAACGTTCAAAAAATCCACCGTCCATTTGCTCAACTCTATAAGAATAAAGAATGCAATAATTTTTTATTAATATATTTTATTTTTAAAACGATAATCGTCACAAAARTAATACCAAATTAAATCATATTTTTACCATAATATAAATGTGCTCTATACTATCATAATTTATAATCATAAATCATAATAATATATGAGAGTAATTTTAGACGGCGACTGATTTTTGCCTGGTTTAGTCAAATCACACGATTAAATGTGGGCTTATATAGATAATACTGAACTTTTTTTTTTTGATTTCAGTAAAAAATACTTATTTTTGACCTAAAGTATAATATATTGTATTCAATAGTCAAGTCTTAAATGCTTAAAGCGTTAAAATGAAATTTTATACATTCTTTAAATACAAAATAATTTCCACGATTTTTACAGTAACAATTAAATAATTTAATTTATTGCATTTTCTCAAAATATATTCAATAATATACAGCATAAATGAGTTCTTCTATGAGTTCCATGCATATTAAATATAATTATAAAAATGAATATAATTTTTTTTTTTAAATTTGAATATGAGAATATTTTTGAAAGATATATTATGATGTCATTTTTACAAAGAATCATTATATCAACATAATTACCATAATGACTCATTTTATTTAAATTATTAAGTTACGGACTACGGTTATATTATCTATAAGGGAGATTAGATGTATACATATTTTTAGAACAAGGTGTATTAAACTGCTAGTTGTTAATGCCATAATGTCTAGTCGTCTAGATCATAATTTTCAATAAGTTCAATAAGTATACATTTGTTTATTTGTTTAATGTGACTAAAAATATATTTAAAAACGTTTTAATATTCGCCGTCATTTCATATTATCTTCTCTTTTTTTTATCAAATCTAATTATTGTACACACATTTGAATAGATTGTAGATGTATTTTAAATAATAAAAAAAACAAAAAAAA